AGCGCAGGCTGTGTTTGAACCTACCAGGTACCCACTTTTACTCCTGGGTGGAGAGAGACAACCGTAGATAAAGTGCCTTGCCCAAGGACACAAGCGACTTGCACAGCGAGAGTTTTGAAAGTTTGATTGGAATAGTTTTGATTGGAATAGAAAGTTTTGATTGGAATAGATTTATTCGGTGTAAGTACCAAGGATAACCCACAAAAGTCTAGAAGACTTATTTCCAGTGGGGTCCTTCTGGTGGTGATTGGGCAGTACACCGGCAGACAATCTCCTACTCTTTTCCGAAAAGCGTACTGCGTTCTTTAACGTGCACATGGACCATAATGCACACTGGTCCAAAGGCTTAATTGTCTCATCCAAAAGACAGTGCGCTGTCGTAAGTTGCATTTAGCCCTCCAGCTGAAATACAAGGAGAGTAGCAATGCGAATTCAGCCTGGTACCAAGAGATCTCCATTGCTCAGCGCTCACACAGTCAGGCCTGGAAAAAAATTGTTTGTGCCTCTGACCATGGAAATTGTCTCAATAAAGTGACTCCAGCACTAAGTGTACACTACATAGCCCAACAGTTGTCTTTTGAAGTTTTGTCCCCAAAATTGTCTCTGGGACATTCATGATACGTCCGACTGCCGGTCGCTTGGTCATGCACTTTTTCCAGCTCTGCACAATGTGGCTACCACCAGCTTAGCCAACTGAGCTGAACTGAAAATATGGTACACTAACCAAGGTATAAAAAAAGTCTTGCCTTTAGAATCTCTTTTAGAAAATTTGTAAATATTGTAGTAAAGTTTTTGCATCCCAGTTTTTTTTCTTCAATGTATAGTTATTTTTGCCTGTGTTGAAATTGTCGTGTCATTCTTGGAAAGAATGACACCACAATTTTGTTTTACTGTACTTTATTCATTGTTGCTTAAATGCTATTTATTATCCTCTATTAAGAGGACTTAAGTGATGCCAATCTTGTTATTTTATATAAAGATGTTGTAGTAATAAAATAAATAATTTTTTGGAAATATTTAATAATTATTTTTCAAAATTATTTAAATTGATTTTATTTGATTTTTTATTTTTTATTGTGAAACATTTGATATTTAGCTGATAAAGATATAATTTTAAATGTTGACAATTTTTTTTTTCTTGCTGTTACAGGGATGTCTTCACAGCGTGGGTGGCGGCATCCAGTGCAAATGCAACAATGGTACACACGGTGAAATAACCGATCTCACGGACATCCATTTTAGTACTAAGTTTTTGTACATAAGGTATTGTAAGATTGGCGCGGATCTCCTGCAGAAGAACTGTACAGACATCACCCAGCATCGACATTGTAATTCCAAAGATGTGTGTCTGATTGGCTTGTTAAAAGCAAGCTATTGTGAGATGGGAAGTATACTGGATATAGTAATGGAGAGGGGAAGGGTGGAGTGGTTGTCAAATAGGGGGAATTTCGCATTCTCAGTATTATGGTGTTTATAAGCATCATCAACCTTGATCTGCTACAAAGGGAACTTTGAACTATGAACTAAAATAGAAGTAGCAGACAAAAGATTTTGCTGCTGTGCTACTTTTTTAGCCTATTTATGTTTATGGAGGCATTTTTCATACGTACTCTTGTAGGAGTTATCAAAACGGTTTTGTTTGTGTCTATTTATAATTTAACTTTATATCTTTTTCATTTATTACATTGAATATTATGTAAATTTAAATTTTGATCCAATGTTCATACTAATTTGGCTCGCTGTACTATTCAGTCGAACAGTGCTCGTCAAAATGTCTCTAAAGCCCAGTTCTCACTACCGCGCCCTAGTGCCCGCAACCGCACGCAATTGCGTTGTTGCTTGCATTTACGTTCATTTTTTCAGTCTGAACTGGACTTTAAAGCAACAAATGTTATGTTCTTGAATTGAAAGGTTACATTACCAACTAAATGACTCAATGACCTAATTATTACTAATTCAATGATCTAAGTCAATGTATGTAAATATGAATTTATGATAGCGTATCATTTCAACAACTGTGAATAATTAAGAAGTATCTATACATTTTGTTCCCTTAATGTGCATTGAGCTGTCACATAATTCTAGTTCCCAGTACTGTAATAATTCAGTAATAGATTACAGAATTGATTAATGCTGGGTCAAAGTCTCCCGGAACTCGTGGGAGTCTCCCGGAATTCAGGACAGCCTCCCGCATGCAAGCAAGAATCTCCTGGAAAAGGAAAATCATCAAGTCTGAGAGTGCCATTTCTGACTATGTAAAGCCATGGTCAGACTGAGGTGGTATAGACCCTACATATATGAAGGCCCCTGCCTGCCCTCCCCCTATTGCAAATTCTCAGATCGATCACTCCAGATCTCCCGGACAAGGGTGGTTCCAGGATTTGCCTGACCAGGCGTCCGAGGGCTCCTACATTGAGGCCAGTGTCTCCGACAGGAACAAAGTGGGCGTAGTCATGAGTTGCTCAAAATATATCGAAAGTGGTCCAGGAGGTCAGGTGGTGCAGTTCTCCCTGCGGGGCCCCTGTTCTCCCTTCCCCCCCCCCCACACTGGTGACACCCCTCCTCCTGGAATTGACTTCTTTCAGCTTAGGACCTGTGTTAATGAATAACTCGTACCTGTGATTGGCTAAGAACAGGGTTGGTGAAATTCTATTTTGTCACTCTTCTTCATATTCACTATGATTTTACAAGCGTGATGGTTATAGCCAATATATAATGTTTATCTAAAACATAATTATTATGGTGCTGAGATGGCCCTACATAGATTTTACACAAATTCACATTTATACTAGTTTTTAGTTTACATATAAGTAATGAATATGAATCATACATATAGAGTACCACAGTCCTGTTGTCACAACACCAGTTGCCGCCCTCTGTCGCCAACCAGACGTTGGTTACCATTCTTTACGCCTGAATGACTTCATAGGCTTTCTGGAATAGCATTTTTAAAATCTAATATTTTACCATCAAAATGTACTAAAAACACAAAAGCTTGCATTATATTAGTTATTGAACACACATTTAATCATCAATTAAAATTTACAAATAAAAAAAAATGATACAACATAATTACGTTAGAAATTGGGATCAATGGTTTGTCAGTGGAGAAAATGGCATCCGGTTGAACGCATTTGGCAACAATAGCAACAGAGTAGTATCACATGGTATGGTGACGTAACACTGTAGTACTCTGTAATGTAGTTCCTTGGGAAGCTCACCTCTGGTAGAAGCCACACACCTTACTTTTCATTTTACATACCAGCCTTTCCTCGGGCAAAATTCCAGTGAATGGTTTGAATGAGGAGCTAAGCTAACTTTTACAAGTAAGGCAGAGAGTGCTAAAAAATTGCCTTTAGATTCCCAGGTTTAAGCCCAACCCCCTCAAAATTGGCCTAATCATGAAATGTCATAGACAGCTATGTGCAATTTCAACTTCAGTAATTTTATCTTCTGTAATATTATGAATGTGTGCTTTTTAAATAGGAAGGGTTAGATCTCCCCTTCCCCACTTCACTGCTAGTGGGGTTAAATATTGGAAATATTATTAATTATGTCCCACCATTTAAGAGAACAAGTCTGTAAATATGAAAAATACAGAATTTTAATGGCAAAAAAAAAAAAAAATGTAAATTGAACATTGATTTAAAAATCTAGACTCAAAGCATATAAGATAAATTTTGGAATCTGTTTTAGGATTAAGCACAAATCTAAGGTTAACTGAGTTCAAAAGGTCAACTGAAGTACTGAATTTAGCATGAAATATTTGTATGCTCTTAATTTTAATTTCAGCATAAATATCAGTTCAGGAAATAATTCCTCAACATAGTCATGAAAAGTGTAAGAGGTCAAGTATGAATATTCATGAACATTAGATATGAATATTAATGAACTCTCATCTCATGGGATGACTCGCACTTGGATGGGGGTTTTTCTCTGAAACAGCATAAATTTTCCAGCATTATCCATGTTACAGGAAATTGTGAATAATTGGGAGAACCCTTCATTCACTTAAAGGCGAGTAGAAGGAGCTGTTCTTTTAATTTTTTTCATTTTGCTAAATTTCAATTGTTCTTTGGCAAGGCACGTTTTTTGTGTCTATATCAAGAGGAATAAATAGATCTTAAAGCCGGGCGCACTTTGCATGCATATACGCCATGCCTAAACGCTTCATGACGTAACGCTATCTGCTGATTGTTACTTGGCAACCTGCGCAGATTATCGATTAAAATTGTTTTTTGCATTGCGGTCATCAAAAGACTGCTTGTCCACACAGTTTGTGCCCGGTTTTAGGATGCTACAATGTTGATCCTATTGCTGATCTGTGCGCATATGCGCATGGAGTGGAGAAGGTTCCACATTCTGCATGTTTGGCAATATGGATCCGATATTCAGGGTTAAATAATGCACTTCGATCTTAACTTCACATTTTCCAATGTGCCAACATAATCATTAATAAAAATGCCAGAACTTTGTAGAAAATTTACCTTGATAGGATAAGGCATCGATCGAAAAATTGTATTTATTTCTCCCTTAGAATCAATTCATTATTTCTAACAGAGAAGTAACCATGTGACTTACAAACTGCAAAGTGATTGGAAGAAAGTTTTGCTTTGCAGATGTAAGTTAAATACAATTGAATTGTACAGAAAATGATGGTATTTTATATGATTTTAGGGACAATGGATAGATGATTGTAAATCCCTTGTCGAACATAATTGTGTCCTTAATGTCAAAATAAAAATATTCGTGTGAAATCAAAATTTCTAATTATTTGTGTTTTTTTAAAGTGTCTAAACAAACGTCCACCTTTAGAGCAAGTGATTTCGATTTTTTAAACTGAAAACTCAAATATAATCGAATCTGTCTTTACATCAACCGATCCACCATTCATTTAACAACAGACGAATATGTAGAATAAGCCGTTGAATCTATAATGTTCTGTAGAATAATAATAATAATAAAATAGCCCTTTGTAACAGTGAGTGTGGATGGGCAGGCTGTGAAGTAACGTGCGTGGAAAATTAGAATAACCAACCCACGATCGGTATAAAATATTAGTTTTAGAATACGAACACTGAAACTGAATTTAGCAAGGCATATTGATATTAGGCCTATAGTGAGCGTGCCAGGATTTACCCGACTACAAGATGGAGAGTTGATCTGTTAATGTTTATGCAATGAAATGGATGCAGAATCATGAGAGACATAAAAGATTGATAACGAAGGTTGCGTCTAGCAGTGCAACAATATGGGC